TCGTCGTAGTAGCCTTTTAAGCGTATTTTGCTTCCAAAACACACGTCCGTAATGAATCTTACATGTAATTTGAGTAGCTATTTGTTTTAAAGTAATGAATGTACACATTGATACACTAAAGTCGTACTTCAATTCTCTCACATTAAATATTCGAAATCCTTATGTAAACAGAAAAAATATTTAACGACGTTATTTTAAACAGGATATAACGTAAAATATATACTGAAAACAACAAGAATGCCAAGGGAAGAAAGCTAGATAGTACCTCATAAATAAAATAGTATGCGATATCAATATGGAAACAAGGGAAAAAGTGAACGATGAACTCATTCCTATTCAAAATAATTGGTTTAATTCCAGAATTTAAAGCTTTTCTGTACGAAGTAGTCATACCATGATATTATTCGTACCTTTTTTGGGGTTCCCCTTGATCTCAGCTTGTGAGATTTTTCAATTAGAACAAATTTCACGCGGGACAACAACTATACGATACAAATCTTGGCACGAATTTTTTTTTTCTGTTGTGATATAATACATGCAAAGCCACAGAACCGTCGAAGATTGGATGACGCGAATGCGTGAATAACGAAAACGTCAATGAAAATGTGTGCATATCATATGCAACGTAGTGTTTGACAGTTCGTAACAACGTTGCTAAGAAACAAAGATGTTATTATTATTTTGATCTTTGCCTGAACGTGATTACGTGATCAAAGGACAGCGAGAAGAAGGATGACTAATACAAACAATTACAAGGAAAATAGCTATTATTGCGGCGTATCATTCTATATCCTTTTTCTTTAGAAATTATAATTGAGTGTTTCAGTGCACGTACAAATGGACTTCTACAATTATCCAGGCGTTATTCTCGATGTCAAGTTCACTTTGATAACGCCAGAGTTTCCAGTAATGCTGTGTGTAGAGGAAAATTTTTCATGCTTTAAACCCGCTATTCCTCCCTTCAATCTCTGCAGGAACGCACTTATTCTAAAGCCCAATTAAGCTCCTTTAAGTACTGCGATAGAAATCACAGCATGGGAACCATTAGAATCCATTTGTCGTGATGAAAGTCTCTAAGGTTCTTGAATCACTTCCGAATATATGCAGGTCTGTCGTTAAAAACCGTGGAAAACCAAAATGAAAAGAATTTGATATTAGAAATTTGAGGTTTTGAACGACGATATTTTAAAGTAATGATGAACAAAAAGGCTTAAAGACTAATATCAGTACTTTTCAATAATTTACAAGAAATGTTGTTTACAACCTAAAAAGGATCCTCTAAAACAAATTGCAAAAAAAAAAAAAAAAAAAAAATTACACAATACTGACCATAACATTCAACAGCGTTCTTCAAGTTAGAGGAAAGCCGAGGCATATTGAATCATAGTAGTTGATGTTAAGCGGTTTTGTTAGTACTGTTGTGATTTAACGACTTGCAATACGTTTTTTATACAACCATTTCAAGACAGCTATTCATCAAGATTTTTTATTCAAAGACATTGTTACTAAGCTTAGAAAAATCAAAGCGAAGAGTCTAGATTGTCAGAGATTAGTCAAGAAAAACGCATTGTTAATAGGCTGTTAATTTAGAGAGAATTTCCTCAGCTCTTTCTCGAGCAACCCTGAAGACAAAGGATGATTTTAAATTAGAGCGAGCACCGGCGTCGAAGGAAAAAACGAGAAAGACCCTGCATACGATGACGACAAGGAAGATAGACAGGTATAAAACAGCCAAGATAACGCTTAAAAACCAAATATTTACGACTCCTTTGTCGTGTTTAGCTTCAAGCAAAATTGCAAGGCTTTATAGCGAGCGCACATCAATAAATGAAATACATTTCCACGTATGGAAAAAAAGGGCCATTAAAAGATTCTGTCAAAGATTAGTCATGAAATAGGTTTAGAATAATCTCACCTTACCTCAAAATGGCTATTTTCTCTCGAAAAATTCGTGCATGATTTTGAACTTTATAATCCCTTCTCAACCGCAGAAAAAAAGCTTTTTTTGTAACTCAAATGACAAAGATAGGTTTTCTAGTATCAAATCAATCTATGTTTTATGTCATCTAACAGATGTAACTTGTTCCGCGAAGACATTCACGTTATTTGGATACCATATTGATCACGTGTCGAATTCGCTTAAGATCAATTAGAAAAATAAATATTTTTGTCCAATGGTAGATGGTTGATGGTAGAGGTTTTGGTTCATGTCAGTGCTCATACCAATTGCCTCAGACTCGATAATAATAAGTGTATGTACTTTTATAAACAAAACCGAATCGGAGGGCTTTTTTTTAAATCGTGACACGAGTCACTTGGTTGTCGTCTCTTGGTCTACCAATCAGTAAAATTTAAACTAAGAAATTCTAGAGCTCTTTTTCTGCATCTATATCTTCTTCTCTTTCTTATTTTGAGTAATATCGAGAGATACAGAGAAGCATAAAACCTCTGGCTACGATATGGAAAGTGAGAAATTATCATTCAAAATTGACCTTTTTTGCATAGACAATTTGAACTCTATTGCTTCATTTTTAGAAAGACCAAAATGCAAAACCAGACATCAATCTTATCGTCGTTTCCCGAAAAAACCTCTGGGCTGATCATGATCAAAGTCCCCGGGGGGGGGGGGGGTACTCTTGCCCGTTTAGGGTAGGGATGTGCCGCTGAGCCCTCTGAACCCTGACCCTGTTCCAGAGTAAAATCGCTGAAATTCATGCCCTGTTCCAGAGCAAGATCGCTGATAAATCATATACTGTTCCGATATTGCGAACATGGAAACCCTGTTCCAGAGAGTAGAGAGCGTGATTTCATAGACCCTGTTCCAGAGCGAGCTCGATTTTATATACCCTGTTCCAGAGTAGAATCGCTGAAAACCATACCCTGTTTGGCGGCACGTACCCGTATAGCGAAAAWAGGRGRGKMCCCCCCCCCCCCCCGGGTCAAAGTCAGGCTAACGGCTTACTCACAGATCTGGTTGGAATTTAGCATGTTCAAGGCTAGCGCAAAATGAAGACATGAAGTTTATACTGATTTTTTCTAGTATAGAATAAAGAAGAAAAGCATTTTAGTGGTAGTGATTTAGAATCTATGTTTTGGCCAATATTTCTTTGCCGTCGACAAGTATTGTTAAAGCAAAATAATAGCGTCAGTAAAGGAAGCTTCAAGAAAACGTAATGACAAAGGGTCGCTATCAGTTCGTGCTTATAACAGACAGACACTCAAGTCAATCAGTCGAAGCATTTTCCCCAGCTTTATCAGTTTGCATTCAAGGAAATACCCCAATAAAAGCAGTATCATAAGCAGTTATAAAGTGAAAGCTTCAAGCAAAAAGAAATCTTGAAAACCATTACCGACATTTTTCTGGAGGAAAAAGAAAAATAAGACTACACTAAAACGTTATGCAATGCGTATTTTCCATCAATCAATGTTACTAACAAATTAGAAATCTCGATGGCTTGTGTGTTTTGTCTTCATCTTTCTAAGCATGAACTTAGGGTTAGCAACGTCGGTGCACCTGCATGATAAAGTAATGGAACAGATATTGGACTATTTATTCAGAAAACAATCTACGTGTTGGTCTCTCGCTATAAATCCACAGAGTACGTTTAAATTTTTCATTGTTATTTTGAGTCCAGAAAATTATATCTTCATAGCGCTTTTTTGTAGCATTGAGCATGCTGAGTATGTAAGAGAATCAGAGAATCCACGACTTAAAATGTTTTTTTTGATAAGGCGTTACTTTTCTATAAAAAATCCAGTTTAAAGTTAGCGAAGTGTATATAGGATATTTTAACGTACTGTACTCGGTTTTGACGCCGCTTTATCGTCTGTTGCTATGCGTCATCTAAAAACTCATTCATCAAAAGCAAAGCTGCATGTGACGAAGCACTCTGAGTTAACTAGCATTTTTTTTGGAACAAAAATAAAGATAACGTTTAATTGATAGCCAATCACGGCCTCTACGCAGTAGGTTGTGGTAAACTTGGTAGATAAAGTGGTCACGATAAGAAAAATTCACTTTCTTGAAGGAGTTTTTCTTCGCTTTGAAACTCTCAAAATACGGCAATAAGCAA